AATACCATTGCTTTGACCATGCGAACTTTTGTTGGCAGGGTGATGTCTCTACTTTTTATCATGCTGTTTAGGTTCGCCATCGCTTTCCTCCCAAGGACCAGGCGTCTTTTAATTTCATGGCTGCTGTCACAGTCTGCCAATCCAATAAATTCATTCATAGTAAAATCCTTATAGTAGAAGAGTTCCAAAGATATATATGATATGCTGGACTCTTCTGAATTACTAAAGTATTCTATATTCATAACTAATTAATGAAACTGGAGTAATAACTCTCTACATTCTATAATTACAGACATTGGCTACCATATTATCCATTGTGCGGCATGTGGTACTCCAAAAGTCTAAAATACTAAGTACAAATTTATCAAAAACTGGCCAAGCACAAGAAGAACTTACATAAAAGCAGTTCATAGTAACAACAAGCAACAAACAGCTACCAGACTCTTCCAGTTTGGTGTAGTGGTTAAGTGTGCGGACTCTAATCTGGGAAAACCGGGTTTGATTCCCCACGCCTCCACTTGCAGCTGCTGGATGACCTTGGGCAAGCCATGGTTCTGTCAGAGCTGTTCTCTCAAGGACAATTCTGAAAAGAGCTCTCTCAGTCCCACCTACCTCACAGGATGTCTGTTGTGGGGAGGGAAAGGGAAAGGAGTTTGTAAGCCACTCTGAGACTCCGAGTGGAGGGTGGGGTATAAATCCAATTTTCTCCTCCTCCTCCTCCACCAGTTTGGTGTAGTGGTTAAGTGCGCGGACTCTAATCTGGGAGAACCGGGTTTGATTCTCCACTCCTCCACTTGCACCTCTTGGATGACCTTGGGCAAGCCATAGTTCTGACAAGAGCTGTCCTTGAAAAAGAGCAGTTTCTGTCCAAGCTCTCTCAGCCCCACCTACCTCACAGGGTGTTTGTTGTGGGGAGGGGGAGGGAAAGAAGTTTGTAAGCCGCTCAGAGACTCCTTTGGGTAGTGAAGGGCGGGATATAAATCCAATCTCCTCTTCTGTGTCTTCTTCTTCCTCCCCATTTCCTCCCCAGCTAAGCCCCTTCTCCCATTGTCTGCTTGCCTGTCTGAGTTCCCCATGGCTGATTTTGCTTCTGCTTCTTTTTGCCATTCTGCCATCCCAGTTCTGACAGGTTTGGAAGCTGAACTGTAGCGCTGGCAACAGGGTCCTTGACTAGAATCCTCTGAACATCTGATGTGGGGTTTTTTTTTAAATGTTCCCTTTTGCCAGCAACCACTACCCCTTCGGACAGCCCCTACGCTCAGATACCCATCTTCCCATTGATCCCCAACCGGGATTGTGTGATGGCAGGAAAGCCAAAGAAGGATATCCACAAACTGGCAGCCCTGAGGAGTATGGAGCCTGTCACATCTTTTGAGGACCATTTCTTCCACAAGAGAAGGTGGCTGCCAGAGGTGAGAGCAGGTTTGGATTGGTCTTTAGTGCCTGGGATAATAATACCTTGGGATAATAATGTTTCTTATTCCCCACTTTCCAGATAGGGCTTGGGGTCAAATCTGCTTAGCTTCACCTGTAGAACTGTGACAACCAGGTTGTTTTCTGCGCCAGCCTTGAGGCTGCAAGACTGGAATTCTTATGGTGTAAAATGGGAGGCTCTTCTGGTTCAAGGAGCCTCAGACTGACTTCCCTTCCTCAACAACTCCGAAGCCTGAGCCCAAGAGATAGAAATAGGAAAGCACTGATTTCTTTACTCCTCTCGGCTGCTAAGACAACAATAGCATGCAAATGAAAAAGATGCAGGACCCCCACTAATTGATCAGTGGTATACCAGAGTGTGGGATCACTTTATAATGCATAAAATCTCGTCAGGTATCCAGCAATCTGATCCTCACTCAGCATATCAGGATTTCATTAGCAAATGGTGGCCTGTATTAGAAAGGCTGGACTGTAACCCAGATGGTAGAAATTCTTTTAATTCGCATGATAGTTATGAATTCATAAAATTATAGTATGAATGGTTAGATTGTTATTGAGTTTTATGTTACAACTGTATTATACTTGACCTGTTGTACTGACTGAGACACTTGGAACTGTTGTTGTTGTTATTATTGTTTTATGATTTAACTCCTTTTATTGTTATTGATACACATTTTTAAAAATAATTCTTTCAATTTATTAATCGCTTTCCCCAGTGGACTCATTGTTATTGTTATTAAAAATAATAATATTCTTCATAAAAAACAACTAGGCAAGATGCTTGGAGTTCTAGGAAGGTATCTGCCAGCGGGATTTTTTCCCCATTCAAAAGAAGAAACCATCACTGGATCCTTCTGATCCGGCTAACTATCACCCAGTTTCGAACGTGCTATTCCTGGGTAAGGTGGTTGAACGAGTAGCGCCAGAAGAGTTGCAGGTCTTCCTGGAGGACACGTCGGCATTGGCCCCGTTCCAGTCTGGCTTCTGACCTGGCCATGGGACGCAGCTGGTGTTGGTTGCCCTTTCAGATGATCTCCTTAGGCAACTGGATTGGGGTGGGTCTGTGCTGCTGTTGTTAGATCAGTCGGCAGCATTTGACACGATAGACCATGTCTTGTTGACCCACCACCTTGCCACCATTGGTTTATGTGGGTCAGCCCTTCAGTGGCTGTGCTGATTTCTCCAAAGGCGAGGACAGAGGGTGGTGCTAAGGGAGAGGGTCTTATCACAACACCCGCTAGTGTGCGGGGTCCCTCAGGGACTGATCCTCTCCCCGATGCTGTTTAACATCTATATGCGCCCTCTCACCCAGTTAGTCAGGAGTTTCAGGCTAGGGTGTCATCAGTATGCAGATGACACCCAGCTGTATCTGTTAATGGACGGCTGACCGGATACCATCCCAGGAGACGTGGCCAGTTGTCTGGAGGCAATGGTAGGATGGTTAAAACCGAGTCATCTGAAACTGAACCCATCAAAGACGGAGGTCCTGTGGCTAGGTCGGGGGGTCTAGGTTGGGGAATTCACCTTCCCACTCTTGACAGAGTACAGCTAGTACCAGCTCCCTCTGCCAGGAGCTTGGGTGTGATCCTTAATGCCTCCCTCTCATTGGAGGCTCAAATCACAAATGTGGCCAGGACGTCATTTTTCCATCTTCACCGGGACCGGCAATCTCTTACCTATCCTGCGCTAACCATGCAACCATCACCTCTAGACTAGACTACTGTAACTCGCTCTATGCAGGGCTATCCTTGAACTTGCTCTGGAAACTTCAGCTGGTCCAGAATGAGGTGGCACAGGTCCTTACTGGGATACCCATAACAGCATATATACAACCTGTGCTCTACCAGCTGCATCGGCTACAGACTGAGTACTGAATCAGGTTCAAGGTTTCCATACTTACCTTCAAAGCCCTAAACGGTCTGTATCTAAGGAACCACCTCTCCCTATACACCCTCAGAGATCATTAAGCTCTTGTAGTAGTAATTTATTGCTAGTCCCTGGCCCCAGAATGGTCCAGCTGTCCTCGACCAGGGCCTACTGGCCCCAACCTGGTGGAACTTCCTGTCTAGTGAAACTCAACCCCTGTAGGACTTGGTTCAGTTCCGTAGGGCTTGTAAGTCCGAAATGGTTCACCAGGTGTATGGTTGAGGACAGTCATGGCTAAAAAGATCACTTGGCCTCTCCATTGCTGGGCCACAAATCTCGCTGGGTTGACTGCTCCCTTAATTATCCACCTCTGAAGGTTTTTTGGAGGGCACCATCTGATATGATTTGATTTGACTGATTTTAAGTTTGAACTGTAAGGTTTGGTTCAAACTGTAGTTCTGATTTTATTGTCTGTCTGATTGTTGGAAGCCACTCTGAGCCCTGCAGGATAAAAATCAAATAAATAAATAAATAAAAATCAGGTGCCCGAGGAACCCAATTCCGTTTGGGATTACAAGAAGGGCGTCTTGAAGATGCCTTCTGCCCACCGCATGCACAGCTTCCCCAATCAGAACTGGCCTCTTGGAGCTGCTGTGTGCCCTGTTGGGAAAGAATACAGGTCCTGGAATTTAGCCCCCATGAGGAAATGACAGCTCCCCAAGGCTGTTTCAGGTCAGGAAAACAGCATGGTGGGAAGTCTTCAACACCCTGTCTCTTTGCATTGTGGTCCCAACTGGTTTTGGGTTTCCATGCGTTTGACTTTGCAGAAGAAAAACCCCAGGGATTTCTGCACATGAAACACCCAGTGTTGCGTCTAGTCAGATTTCCTCCAGTTTTTTTCTCTTTTTTCAAAAAAACAGGGTAAAAAGAAAAGGGGAGGAGAAAAAACTCAAAATCTAGCAACTAATAAAAAGAAAAGGGGGGAGTATGTATAAAATAGAAACAAAAAGATAACAACAGTAGTGGCAGATCTACACATAAGTTTCTACTCCTCTACGGGTCCAAGTTTCCCCTCCAAATCCCCTGCTAACCAATCACAGGGTCCAAAGGGGGCCTGGGAAATGTAGGCCCTGTAGCCATTCTAGTACAGGCTTCCCCGGGGCCACTAGGCCTCACTACACAGGCCCAGTCTCATGACAAGTTTTTTTAGCACTGTCCACCCCCCTTGAGGGAGACGGGGTTGTCACCAGCATCGATTAAGTTTCATCTAGCAGCCATTTCAGCCTTCAACAACCCTGTTGACAGTTCAGCTGTGTTCTCTCACTGCACTGCCAAGCAATTTGTGAAGGGCCTCTACAGTCTTTACCCCCATATACTCCAATTATCTCTCAAATGTCCTTTCCACTAGTGTTGGCCCAACTGATGCTTGCACCCTTTAAGCCATTGCCTTCCTGCCCAGGGGTCATTTCCTGTGGGAGCGGGGAACGCACAGGAGCCGAGCTCTGGCAGTAAAGAGCTCAGGGGGTGGGCATATGAACAAGCCCCACCCCCTGCTCCCAGCAGCCCTCAGTCAGAGCAAGAAGCAACCAGGTAAGTTGCAGAGGCCCCCCCCCCGGTCCAAAACAGTACAGTGGCACCTTTAAGACCGAGTTTTATTCAGGTACAAGCTCTCCCTCCTCTGTGAGGACAGATCTGCACATCCCCCCCCCAATAGCTAGCAATCCAAAACAGTCCAGTGGAGCCTGAGTGGTGGGTGTTGCCTTCTGACTCACTTCCGGTGAGGTCAGGGGGTGTGGCATATGCAAATGAGTCATGCTAATGAGTTGTGCTAATGAGCTCCTGCCCCTCTTTTTCTACGAAATGACTCCTGCTCCTGCCCCTTAGCCCTGCTGTCCCTAAAGACCTTTAGGTGGCTATTACCTCCACAAGGAGGTTGGGCAAGTTGGCAACGTTGAGCGATCATTCCCCCCCCCCCCCCCGTTTTCCCCCAACAAGATCGTCCTTTGACCTACTAGTCTTGAGTTTCAACCTAAGATTGTATCTAGGTTTCATATGATCTAGATTGTGTCTCTACCTATGTTCTTTCCAGACGCCTCCTCCCCAGCAGAAAGAGCCTTACATGGACTGGATGTTAAAAGGTGTTTATTGTACTACCTGCAGTGTACACAGCCTTTCCCTAAGGACCACAGTCTGTTCATTTGCTTTACTGGTCCTCATATGGGCCTCTCCACATCCTCTCAGTCACTGTCTCATTGGGTAGTCCATACAATCAGACTCTGTTACAGCCAAGTCAGTGTCCCTTGTCCCCTGGCAATTAAAGCCCACTCCTCCAGGTTATTTATTTATTATTTTAGATTTCTATCCCACCTTGTCTGCGCATGCAGGCTCACGGCAGTGTACATAGATTAAAATGCCATAAAATACAAATGCATAGATTAAATACATAGATTACAATGCATATACAATGCAATGCATATGCAATGCAATGCAATACATAGATTACCCTTTGCAGAGTTTTAGTTAGAAAATTCCTCCAGAGGCAGGTCTGCGCGTGTGCAGTCTCAAATGTGTGTCTGCATGGAAGACAACTCGACAAACAACAGTTACAGGTAAGTGCAACCCCTTTTTTTTATGGGCATGCCAGCTCTGAATGCTTGTGCTTCAAACGTTTTGTGTCTTGGCAAGGAAATTTGCCCCCATTAAGGAAATTTCATGCCATACGTTATTGCTCCCGGTATTCCTGTACACGCTAGTTAAATGTTTGGCTTCTGTCTCTGCCTCTTTTGTCATACAGAGCAAAGCCTCCAAGGCTCCGAGGCCCTCCCTCTCCCTTGCTCCGGAACTAACGTCCAAGGGTCGCCGTTTGACTATACACAACCTTGATGAAATTCGCCGAGAGGTAAGCAGTTAAAAGAACCAGCACCATTCATTGCTTGTATGGGTCTGTGCTTGTGTTGGATTTGGCATTCTGTACATCGATGGGATGCCCTCATCACCCAGGGTCCTAGAGTTATGTTTAATCCTTTAGTGATTAAACTCCTTGCCTATACCTGAGGCATCTTTGGTCCTTTCCGTACTAGACTTTAAATCCTGGTTCAACCCTGTCCCTGAACGTACATTCTACACTACACGCGAGTTCACCCCTGCAATTATCTTGGGGTATTTTTTGTTTCCACATTACATTGAAGTCACCCCGGTTTTGCCCCACACTTGTCCCGGGATAAATAGATGCTGTTATAACCAGGGATAAATGCAAGGTATTGTGTCATGAGTTGAACTCTGATAAAAACCAGGGATGAGATCCAAGTGTGGAAAGCACCCTAGACTGTTTTTTGCCCAATGTTTCTTGCAAAAAAAGGAAATCCCACAACTTCCCCTGGCAATTTGTTATTGTTCTGCCCCACAGGATTGTTGTAGTTATTTATATGAAGCTTTTTAAACTCTCCCAGAGTGCTAGATCAGGGGTCTCCAACGTGGTGCCTGTCAACACCTTTCCTGGTACCCGCCTAGTGTTTTGAGAAAGTGGGCAGGTCCAGTTGGGGCTTTTCCTGTAGAAATGCTTCTGGTTGGCCATTGGTGAGTTGATTGGCTGTACAGATTTCTGGAAAACATTGCTTTGGCAGCAGCTTCCACCACAGCACTGTGTGATTGAAGGTGGTTCCTTAGATGAGCTGGTGAAGGATTGGCATAGCTGACTCTCCAAAGCCATTGACAAAATCACCCCCTGGCGCCCTCTTCACTCCCATGCCAAACCAGCCCTGTCGTATAACCCGGAGCTGAAAGAGGATGAAATGGGAGCTAAGATGGCTTGAGCGAGGCTGACGGTGTATCTGCAAGATGAATCTGCAAGAGCATCTTATAGGACATTTATGAAGGCAGTGAAGACAGCTGAGAAGGAATTCTACGTGGCCTCCATTGCGTCCGCAAGCTCTCGCCCAGCCCAATTATTTAGAACAATTGGGTCTTTAACATCTTTGCCTCAAAGCAAACAAAATAGTAAGGAAATGGCTAGCGGCTGTGAGGCATCTGCGAGCCATTTCGCGGACAAAGTCTTGTCGGTCCCTGTGAACTGGAAGCCCCTTGACCATCTTCTGGTCCAATTTTGGACTGCCTCAGCCGACTCTCCCAGGAGGAAGTCGACAAGGTCTTGGCAGCTGTGAAGCCCACCACTTGCTTCTTTGACCCATGCCCATCTTGGCTGTTTAAGGCCAGCAGAGATGCCATTGAGCCCCCCCGGGTGATATCATAAACCTATCCCTGTCTTCTGGGGTATTCCCAGGGACTTTGAAAGAGGCAGTGGTGTGACCGCTTATCAGAACCCACAGCCAACAACATAGTACACGCTTATCAGGAAAGGTAATACTTTATTGAAAAGCTATAGATGCATTAACATAGCCACTGTTAAGAATAGCGGCTGCCCCTGGGTCATAATAGGATGTAGGGTATTTGTATGCCCCCCCCCCCCACTGTCCTGGCCAATTAGCCACACTCCCGCGCGCGGGAGAAGACGCTCCAGCCATTCGCGCTGAAGCTGGGAACCAAGCTCGCTCCCATGGTTCCCTTAGAACTAGACATCAACATCCCACCACCTGCAGAACTTAGAGATAAGCGTTACCGCAGCGAAGAAGCACAGAAGGAATGCAAAGGTGATTAGAGTACCACTGCCCCCCCCAACCTCCATGGCAGCTTAGCTGACACCACTCTTGAACAAAACCATCTTTGGACCCTACAATCCTGGCCAGCTTCTGCCCAGTTTCGAACCTTCTGTTTCTGGGCAAGGTAGTCGAGAGAGCAGCAGCTGAGCAACTCCAGGCTTCTTGGATGACGCCTCAACCCTGGACCCATTCCAGTCCAGTTTCTGCCCTGGCCACAGAACTGAGACAGCACTGGTCGTCCTCACGGACGACCTTTGGAGACACCTGGACCAAGGCGGGTCGGTGCTGCTGTTGCTTCTTGATCTTATAGCAGCATTTGACATGGATGATTACTATCTTCTGACCCACTGCCTTGCCAACGTGGGGACTGCCTTGCAATGGCTGTCCTTCTTTCTCCAAGGTCGGGGACAGAGGGTAGCGTCGCAATACCCACTGGTTTGCAGTGTCCCTCAGGGGACGATTCTCTCCCCAATGTTATTTGACATCTACACGCACCCCCTTGCCCAGGTAATCCGGGGGTTTGGGCTGGGTTGTCACCAGTACGCTGATAACACCCAGCTGTATCTGCTGATGGACAGACGGCTGGACTTGGCCCCGGATATCTTGGAGGCCATGGCTGGTTGTTTGCAGCAGAGTCGGCTGAAATCAAATCCATCTGAGGCCCTGAGTCATGGGAGGGGCAGATATGGGAATCTGGCTCCCAAACCTTGGTGGGGCACAGTTAGTGCCAGCGTCGAGGGTGAGGAGTCTAGGAGTGATACAGGATGTCTTGTTAACTATGGAAGCCCAGGTCACCAATGCTGCCAAATCAGCCTCTTACCATCTTTGACTGGTTTGGCAACCAGTTCCCTACCTCTCCCCCCAGGACTTGGCTACAGTGATCTATGCAGTGGTCACTTCCAGGTTAGACTATTGCGACTTGGACACTGTACTTCTGTTGATTCAGCCCAAAATCACATTTGCCTTAAGTTCCACCCTCACCCTGTACTACCTGGGGCTTTCAAAGCTGCCTCGCTCAATGAGCCCCACTGCCCTCCAGGTATGCTGTCCTGTGGGAATGGTCTGCAGCCCAGTTACACCCAGTTATGTCTGCAGCTCAGTTATGCCCCAGTCTTAATACAGCAGAGTCCTGCTTAAGGTGACCAGCCTCCAGGGTTGGGTTGCTTAAGGTGACCCCTCCAGGGTTGGGTTGGAATTCTCCTGGAATGACAAGTGATCTCCAGACTACAGAGATGAGTCCCCCTTGGAGGAAATGACAGCTCTGGGGGGTGGACTCTGTCCTCTCCAGGCAGGGCCCCCCAAATCTTCAGGAATTTTCCAAGCTAGAGTGGGCAGCCGTAGTCCAACCCTAGGCCAGGATACCAGGAGAAGAGGTCTTAGCCACAGCTACCAGGGCAGGGGCAGAGGCATGGGACAGTTATGGGAGCAGAGGGGAGAACACAGGGAAGGAGAAGAAGAAGAGGAGGAGGAGGAGGAGAGGAGGAGGAGGAGGAGGAGGAGGAGGAGATTGGATTAATACCCCGCCCTTCACTACCCAAAGGAGTCACGGAGCGGCTTACAAACTCCTTTCCCTTCCCCTCCCCAAAAAAGAGGGGAGGTAGGTGGGGCTGAGAGAGCTCTCTCGAGAACTGCCCTTGAGAGAACAGCTCTGAAAGAACTTGTGACTGACCCAAGGTCACACCAGCAGCTGCATGTGGAGGAGTGGGGAATCAAACCCGGTTTCTCCCAGGTTATAGTCCGCGCTCCTCACCACTACACCGTAATGGGGGAAGTCTCTGTGGAGCTCCATCTGTGCTGCAGGCAGCCTAGCCCCACTTGGCCAGAAAAGGATTTGGGAGCAAGGCCAGGATCAAAGTTAGTCGACTCTAACTGAGAATCCAGTTTCTTATAGTCTCTTTACAAGATATCTTATGGCATTGTTCGTAGCCACTCAGATGACTTAATCTTCCACTTAGAGTCTCTGTCTTTCCTCCTCAGGTGAAGAAAGCAACAGAGAACTACCGGAAGGCGCTTGCTCTCCGGGAACGCAACAAGTCACTGAAGCTGTGGCGGAGACTGCGTGGTGGGGAGATTGGCTTGGAATCAGGGAATCCCAGCTTCTATCAGACTTTCTCCACCTACTCGTGGTCATGGAATGTTTGCAAGGAGCTGCTGACTCCTCAAGAACTCCAGGAGTATGACAACCAGCTGTATCACAGCTCCTCCCGATCAGCCAGCCCTGTAGACAGGATGATCAAAGTTGACGGGAAGCAAAGAGGAAGTAAGAAGTAGCCCCCATCTGTAGTTGGCATTGGCTTCCTCCGCTTTAATTCTAGGGCATTCTGCAGAATGGTCTTGGGCTGGTATCCGGATTGCGCCTGAGTTGGTGGAGTGCAGGAGTTCACCTTTGTATACTGGCTAATACAGTAAGAAATTCAGATAGAAGAGGCAAATCTCTCGTGTCATTTTGAGGCCCCCCCCCATCCTTCCCTTTTTTTGAGTATCACTGTGGGCTGTGAGGAAATGCAGCAGGAAAAATAATACTTGAGTCTGAGTATCATGCAAACTACCCCCATGTTAATTACATGGAAAAGAACTGAGGATTCTCTGCTTTACAGAATTCCAAGGAAGCACACTTTCTTGTGAAAGGTAGACCCAAATAAAAGGCTTTGGGGTGTTGCATTCTAGATAACCCAATATTCCACGAGTGCTATGAAGAAGCACTGATCATTTTATCATTAAGTTATCTACTAGGGTTAAACTGGCTAACGAATCAAAGTTTGTCACGATGAGCACAAACTGGCTAACGAATCAAAGTTTGTCACGGATTTTGTGCTGTTCAGGATTCACAAACCGGAGTTCGTGAACTGAAGAACTGGGACGAACTACCACAAATCTTGGTGCAATTTGTGGTGGCTCCTGACAGTTTGTGAACAGAGAAACAGCTGAGCGGCTGGGAGGTCCCTGCTGCTCAGCTGCTTGGTTTAAATGACTCAGACATTTAAACCCTACTTTCAGCTCCCCATGGCTTTTTGCGGGAGCAGAAAGCAGGGTTTAAGGGGCTCGCAGCTATTTAATCCACTGCTGCCTGCAGCTATTCTCCAGGAGCAGGAAACGGGTTCAAATGGAGCAGAAAGGAGGGTTTAAATGGAAGGGGTGAAGTGCCTTCCTGGCTGCACTTCACCCCCAACTTTCTGCTGGTTGTGGCTTGCCACAGCCAGCACAAATGTGGAAAGGAAGTCCGCTCCCTGGAGATCTCTCCCTTTTCTTCTGGGCATGGCTTGCCATGGACAGGAGAAAGGTGGAAGGGAAGTCCATTTCCAGGAGGTACCCCCCCCATTTCTTCAGGATGTGGCTCACCACAGCCAGTAGAAAGGTGGAAGGGAAGTCACTTCCACCACCACCTATATGGAAAGCCTGAACACCAGGTCCTGACGTCACTATAATGGCGACCTGAGTAGGCATAACATTCCCAGTGTGGCTGACTCGAGCAGAAGAAGACGACGTTGGTCTCTTTCTCCCGGACTGGTTTTCTCGTTGCAAAAACGAGGGAGGATTTCTGGAGTTGGTTTTGGGGTTTGGTTTTTTTTGGGGGGGGGGGTTCACAGTGGCCGTTGTGGAAGGAAGAGATTGGAGGGAGGGGGAAAAGTTAATCTGACCGGAGCGGGATGGGATGGGACGGAGTCGAGCGAGCGGGAACGTTTCCCCTGCTTCCTGAGCGACCGAGGGCTTTCTGGGGTTGTTGGGGTTTTTTTGGTGTGTTTTTTTACACAGGACCGTCTGTATTTTCATGGAAGAAAGAGGTGGGTCGATTCCCCGAAGCTTCCCTTTCCCCCCC